ATGAGCGAGCCATTCAAGCAATTGTTCTCTGTCCTATGATTTGATGCAGTTCTTTCATTTGCGGTCTAATGGCACACACAGGCGTTGTTTCCTCATAGGGCTATAGCTACATGTAGCTACATATAGCTACACATCACAGTGCTGGGAGTTCTCTTTGGTATGTTTGTAGAGATGTGAGGACACTCCAGGTGAGATCAAACACAGGAAGGGAGCATATGGAGCCTGGAGAAGAACACAGCCTTGTTTGCTGCATCATTAATCCTGCCAAATAGGGCCCCTGGTGTGTGTGTGTGTGTGTGTGTATACTGTATGTGTGTGTGTTCTCCTACCTAACTGCTGACTCTACACCTCCATGCAGCACTAGGGACCCCCAGTTTCCACAGCCCTGAACAGAGACCCCTGAACAGCTCCAGCTGGGTTCCTTGTCACGTCACACTCGCGCCAACCTTACACAGCAATATCAGAACACCAATTTACACAACGTCTGCAGTCACACAACCCCTGTGTCTCCGTCCTCCCTTCATTAGCTATCTCTGTCTCAGCATCTCTCTGTGTTGATGGCCACAATGCCTAAGTGAGTTTAGAGCGTCGGGAGTCTATAGATGATTTAGAATAAAGGTGCTCTTCCCTCATTCAAACCCCATTCTGACTGGCGTCTGTTCTCTAATGAACAAATTTACAGCAAGAGGAAACATTATTCAATAACAGAACAGGTTGAAAATGAGGAAGAATGGAGCTCAATGAGCATAGGCCCAACAGAGCAGAATGATTAACTAAACCACCTTATTTACCCTGGTTTGTTAGGCGTCTTCAGATGGGGAACGCTTGCCTTACTCTCCCTGCCCTTAGACACAAGACGTGAGTGCTACTGGAAAACAGAAAACATCTGGTGTCATTTTTTATGATAACACAGGCCATTAGGAGGCAATAAAAAGAAAGCATAGCTCAACATTAGCCTGGTACAGTGTTGGATGTGAGTTATGAAGATAGTTTATGCAATGCGGCTCTGAACACGTGCAAGAGTGCGCAGGCATGCGCATGCACACGCACACACACAGATCTGCATAAATCAATCTCATCTGCCTGAAGGTAAGCCAACAGGCTGCTTTGTGATCGATTTGTCTGAGGCTCATGAATTCATACATGTTTTCTCTCTCACCACATCACCAGTGTTTACTCCTTTCCCTATCATCATCCCTTCCTCCATCGCCTCCTCTTTTTATCTGCATTAAAGTAAAGTTTCACTTCCTAAAGCCAAAAGGTGAAAAATATCTATACAGACCCAAAAATCAGAGTTCATTGCCCTCTGTGTTTATCTGCAAACCATTAACTTAACATGGCGAGAGACAAAGAGAGAGAGAGAGAGGCAGAGAGATCATGGATCTAACTGCAGGCCACAAAGAATATAACAATCTGAAGTGAATAGATTGGAGACAGATACAAGTCTACACTTATCTCATCATGACCTTCCATCTATCCCCACAAAAAAAAATTAACAAAATCAAACGAGGTTGCTATCGACTGGTAGACAAGCAGAGGAGAACGAGAACACCTTGAGCTGGAGCATGGAGGTGAAAAGTGATGATGGCTGTGATCTTTATCTCTCTCCCTCTCTGATCTAAGAGGGATTTCTCTGGCCCTCCCCCTGCCCCCCTGACATGGAGCTATGGAGCTCCAGACCCAGCAAAGCCTGGCGAGAGAGACACCCCAGAGAGGGAGATAGATGGCTGGGGAGATTAGGTGGACCTAGTCCTGGTCTGTCTGGAGGAATGTCCTTCACCTGAAGCGCTCTGTGTTATAACACAACTGTTAAGGGTGATGATTGAACCAGCAAGCCAGTGGTTACAGGGGAAGTGCAGTACTACCTGTACCATAAAAACCTAGTAGAATCACAGTAATATCATAGTCCTGCTCAGGCCTCTCTCCTGTTCTGCCAGACAAACAGACAGACATAATGCCACACAGACATAATGCCACGCAGAACGATCCCCCAAAGTGAGAAGGCAATTTGCCTCTGCCGCAGTCGACACATTGCTGTTAGGAGGTGATTGAATTTGTCAACCAGCCAGAATGAAATGGCATAAACGACACTCTATGCCAATCAGCCCTTCACATAGAGGGACATGATACAAATGAGAGACAATTGCATGTTTGTCATGTTTGAGTACGCACACAAAGACACACAAAGACAAGCATACATCAAAGATGGACACAATTTGCCCAATGTGACTTTGCACAATCTCTTGATTTACATACAAATGAAATGGTTCAAGACACAGCAATTCTGTCTGTCTGTACTCAAAGCAATTACTGTGTGTGTGGACTTTCAACTGTAGCAACATTGGATCAAACTAAAGCCTTCCAACACCTCCTGTATATGTTAGTGTGAAGGATCTTAAAGTATATCAATAAGCCTGAGAACTCTCCGCACATACTAAATGAAACCTAATGAAACCTGTACACCAACAGGTGCACTCTGGAGTTGGCACAACAAAACCAAATCCATGACATCTGCAAGTCTCATCCCATGCTTTGGGTGTAATTAATACACACACTTAGATGATCATATCGACAGACTCAGGGGGAGGTGGAAATACAGTACTGGCAGGAGAGACTAAAACAGATGACCCAGTCCCCAGACACAGGCTGAGGTGTGTGTATGTGTGTGTGTGTCTTTTGAGATGAAGTGATAGAGGTAGGTAGGGATGGATGGAGACAGAGGGAGAGAAGCGTGGGGCCGATGGTGAGGGCCACAATCAGCTGATGCAAGGGGCAGTTACTGAGACACTCACAGCTGTGTCACTGAACACTCCTCTGGTAGCTGTGACTGAGAAACTTAGTATCCGTATTCCTCCATTTCTCACATTAATATGAAACTGTCTCTTTCGCTAATAGCCTACTTTTCTCTGCCTCTTCTCACCCCTCTCTCTTTCTATTTCGCACACTGTCACTGTTGTAGAGAAAGCAACATGACATATTTATATCCATGGCTCAGTGAAAGGCGAATGTTTGTACGCATGTGGGGAAATCATCTGACGGGCGAATCGTCGGCTTAAGTAAACGCAATCCTTTTTCATTTAAGGAGGAGCAAATCTTTATGAGCATCAATGTTGAATAAACGCTTTGATGAATATCAATGAGTATTCTGTTTGTGTGTGTTGGTCTGGTGAGAGTTCTTGGCTGCCTAGTAAGTAAAATGACGTTGAAAACACATGTATTTTCCAGATGTTGACATTGCGTGCATTTCAAGTGCTGAATGGGAGGCTAGAAGACGTCTTTTCCGGACATCGAAAATATGTATTTTCCGGACATCGAAGAGATGTCTTATACAACATGTGTCAAACTCATTCCACGGAGGGCCGAGTGTCTGCGGGTTTTCGCTCCACCTTGTACTTTATTGATCAATTAAGGTAATTAATTAGTAAGGAACTCCCCTCACCTGGTTGTCTAGGTCTTAATTGAAAGGAAAAAAACAAAAACCCCTCCATGGAATGAGTTTGACGTTTCCGGACATCGGAAATATGTCGTTTCCGGACGTCAAAAATACATTTTATAGCCAAAATTCAACTAAACATACATTCTGAAATAAGCGTTATACCACAATAATGCATTTTCAAGCCTCTTGATACAGCAAAGAGGAGCAAACCGAAGATTGCAATAGGTTATTTATTATTGCTCCTATCTGTCACATACACTTGTGTTAGCTTTTTCAAAAGCTTTTAAACTGTCAACGATGACATTTAAAGTAGCCAGCCCATAGAATAAACCAACAGACCATTCAACTACAATGCCAATCTCAGTAACTGTTACATATTTCTTTGTTGTTGCTATGATTGTGATATGTTGTTGTTTATCTACCTATGTTGAATGCACTGTTTGTAAGTCGGTCTGGTTAAGAGCGTCTGCTGAATGACCAAAATGTAAATGTTAAAACAAACATTTGCAAAGCATGCTTGGTATTATTATAGCTCCACCCCCAAACAAGTTCAAATTTGGTCAGTGAGGACCAGATCCAAATCTGAACGAATCATAGACCTCTAGGCTATGTTTAACAAGTTTGAACATCACAGTATGGTACGGTACAGGACAGTCGAGTTTTATTCAGTACAGTACAGTACAGTACAGTACAGTTTCATTCAGTAGAGTACAGTACAGCTTAGTTTAGTAAAGTAGGGTACAATACAGTATCACTTTATCAGAAGCATGTCATCAATGACGTCCGAAGCTTCGTTTGATTACGTGCTTTTTCAAACCATGTGTTGCAAAATGCGAGATCCCACTGATTTCACGGTGGTTCCAGTGCTTTCTTCCATTCCAAGCTGTTTTCAAACACCGACCTCTACTGGACATCGTACTTCCAAATATAGTTAGGATTTTGTCCAGAAAGACTGTTAGCCTAGCAGGTAGAGTAGGGAACTATGGAACATTGAGGGATGTGAGGGCATGAGGTCAAATCCCACTGTAGGCACACTATTTCGATTTTCTTTTCACACTTTCTGCACTGTTGTTCAGATCATTTATTTTATTTAGTATAGTATAAGCTTCTGTCTGAAGCATCCTAAACAATGCCATATAATCAATTTTTGAAAAATAGTCAACTTGAAAGCAAAAAAGGGAAGCATTACATATGATAGGAACCTGGTATTCCAACTGATTATAGGCTACCAAAGCCTTACCGCTGCGCCGAAACTTTACTTGCATCTTACTTTCTCTTACTTAGTTTACTGACTTACTTGCATTGTTTCTTATGGCAGCAGTACCAGTATGTGTTGGTGTTAAGTACTGTAAATAGATTCCAATTAAAGGGTCGGCTGAGGACACACTTGATTGACACCGAAATCTCACCTAAAGCCTTCATTATTGAAACACAAAGTCCTACAAACTTGTGTAAGTATATGTGCCATTTCTCATGCGTTGTCTCACTACCTTGTGTAAGTGTATAAAGAAGGGGACAGAACCTCATAGATCCTACATTATTTCTGAAGAGGTGTCATTTCAGAATGAGGGATGCTGTATTTCTGCTGGTGTTGCTGTTCTGTCTGTCCGGGACATGGGCTCAGGGAGAGAGTGGAGGGGGCAGAGAGAGTTTGATCGATAGCCAACGGACTGAAGCTACAATGACGATCCACGAACAGACGAGCGGCCAGCCCACTGCTGATATCTGGGGTGAGCTGAGAGACATGGTGGTGGAGCTGAGGACCATGGAGACCAGACTGAGTGCCAGTGAGAAGGAGGTGGAGGACCTGAAGATGGAGAATGCAGGTAAAGGACTATTATCCATGATTTTAGAAGTTCATTTTCATTATGCTATTGGTTCGGTGGATGATCAATAGCTTTTGATAACTGTTTTGATTCCATAATTCCAGCCATGAATGCCAGATGTTTCTCAACGTAACATGTAATATGTAATATGCAACATGTAATATGTAACATGTAACGTAATATGTAACGTGTAACATGTAATATGTAACATGTAACATGTAATATGTAATATGTAACATGCAAAATGTAACATGGAAAAGGTGATGAAGACTTATTTATCCTTATTTTCAACTCAATCTTTGTGATTGACTGTTAAGTTAGCCTAACCATAGGCAGTTTATTTATGCTTATTTACCATTTTGATGATTTTAATGTTTATTTTCATGTCATTTTAGCCCTGGAGGCCAGAGTGAAAGCCAGTGAGAGTGGCAACACGGGTAATTAAAAGGTGTTGATATACAACTATTATTATTTTAAAGGTAAGTTTACTAATGTGTCCTTTCCTGTTATCACAGCCTTGGAGGCCAGACTGAGTGTCAGTGAGAGAGAGATGGAGGAGCTGAAGAGAGGAAATGCAGGTAAAACCAATACAGAAAAAGAGTGTAGTCTTCCAGTCAAAAATGTTGCACCTGCACTTGATTGTAATCTAAAGGGGTTTGTTTTGTGGCTGTTGGTGAACGTTTTTTGTTTAGCTTCTTGGCCAAATAATGATGGCTTTCATGGGTTAAAAGGTAGCTTAGTGGTTAAGAGCGTTGTGCCAGTAACCGAAAGATCGCTGGTTCTAATCCCCGAGCCGACTAGGTGAAAAATCTGTCGATGTGCCCTTGAGCAAGGCACTTAACCCTAATTGCTCCTGTAAGTCGCTCTGGATAAGAGCGTCTGCTAAATAACTAAAAATAAATAATTAATATTATTTATTCCTCTATCAATAATCAGTGCATTCCCTTCTCTGTGTTCACAGGCAGACTTATTCAAACCAAGTAGGACCCTTCAATACCATCACCACACTGGTCTACAGTAGAGTCATCACCAACATCGGCATGGCCTACAACCCAACTACAGGTATTAACCACACAAATCAACACACACTGAATCCAACTACAGTTCAGCTTAACTACCAGTGTCTATGATAAATACACAGCGCTGATCTCTCCCTGTGTTCTCCTCTGATGCATATATCTACACAGCACCAGTAAGAGGAGTCTACTACATCAGATTCACTGCAATGAGTCACCGTGTTTCGGTGTATATCTTTACCACAATGACAATTACAAATACAATACCAGTGGACAGTTGAGGTGCTTGTCTAATGCATTGATTAGAGCTGGAGGAGGGGTATGTGATTTACATGCGCCTCCCCTCAGGCTGGTTGCTCATTGATAATTCTAATAACCACAACACCTTCAGTAGCTTTCTGCTCTTCCCTATGTGAAGGAAGCACCATGTTTGATGAAATTACATTTGATTTGTAAAGTGAACAGATCTCAGATTAATCAATAAATAAGCATAAAAAAGCCAGACAATTCTTAAGTGTCATTTACATATTCCCATCAGTGACGTAATGTGACCGGTGCTTTACAGTCTGCTGCTGCTGACACACACGCACGCACGCACGCACGCACGCACGCACGCACACACACACACACACACACACACACACACACACACACACACCATTTCGAGTCATTAGAGGAAAACACATTGTATCTATTATGGAAATGAGTATATGAGAAGTTATATTGCTGCTGAATTGTTCTACTACCACAGAGCGAGAAATGGGATTTCATATTTCAGAGGGGAAAACTTAGAATTTTATTTGCTCTGTGTCTGTCTTTATTTTGTTATGTTGACACAAAGTTCTTCATGTGTACTTTTGAGGACAAACTGATATGAGTGGTGCATTGCTTCACTGTCATCATTCAGATGATGACAGAAAGAGAGAAGAGTCAGAGATAGAGCATCAAATCATTTCATACATGGTGTCACACTCTCTCTCTCTCTCCCTCTCGTCTGACAGTGCTAAAAGCAAAGAGTCGCTACTCAAATATTTACCAAGACAAGCAGAAGAAGCAGAGAGGGGAATGTGTACGGCTGGATTTACAGACTAAACAACACAGACAGGCCATGAATAAATCCCTCTGTGGAATATTCTGTCTGTGATGTTAGTAGGTTTAATCCCAAATGGCACCCCATTCCCTATAGTGCATAGGCCCTGGTCAAAAGTAGTGCACTGCAAAGGGAATAGGGTGCCATTTGGGATGTATATTCTGTCTGTGATGTTAGTCATAGGTTTGTTTCTTCCTTCAGAGAAGTACCTGGACTGAATTGAAAAGGAGGCGCAGTAAAAAAAAATCCATGTTTTCTTTCCATGGAGATTACTCATACCTGTATCCCTGTGTTAGTGGGTTGGTGTATTCTGCAGCTCTTTCTCTCAAATGCACACATACCGAGTTAAATGCAAGTGTGCACGCACATAACCCTAACGAACAGCGCCGGAGAAGATGGCTGCCATTTTACAGCCCTCTAACCATTTGTACTATTATGTGTGTTTTTCCGCGTTATTTGTAATTTATTTTGTACATAATGTTTCTGCCATCGTCTCTTATAACCAAAAAGAGCTTCTGGATATCAGGACAGCGATTACTCACCTCGTATTGGACGAATATTTTTTCTTCAACGAGGCGGCGGCGAAGGAAATCATGCAGACACCCGACAAGGCCCAAATCCCTGTCATTCGCGTGAGGAAGAGACTGAGATATCGTGGACGTAGATCGGGGTGCCTTGTATTGAATCCGACGGCGAGCGAGTAAACTGCCTCTTCCATCAATCCTATTAGCCAATCTTCAATCACTGGATAACAAATTGGATGACCTAAGATTACGGTTATCCTACCAACGGGACATTAAAAACTGTAATATCCTATGTTTCACCGAGTCGTGGCTGAACGACGACAATGATAACATACAGCTAGTGGGCTATACGCTACATCGGCAGGATAGAACGGCTGACTCCGGTAAGACAAGGGGTGGCGGTCTGTGTATATTTGTAAACAACAGCTGGTGCACAAAATCAAATACTAAGGAAGTCTCGAGGTTTTGCTCGCCTGAGGTAGAGTATCTTATGATAAGCTGTAGACCACACTATTTACCAAGAGAGTTTTCATCCATATTTTTCATAGCTGTCTATTTACCACCACAAACCAATGCTGGCATTAAGATTGCACTGAATGAGTTGTACAAGGCCATAAATCAACAGGAAAACGCTCATCCAGATGCAGCGCTCCTAGTGGCCGGGGACTTTAATGCAGGGAAACTTAAATCCGTTCTACCTAATTTCTACCAGCATGTTAAATGTGCAACCAGAGGAAAAAAAACTCTAGACCACCTTTACTCCACACACAGAGACGCATACAAAGCTCTCCCTCGCCCTCCATTTGGCAAATCTGACCATAACTCTATCCTCCTGATTCCTGCTTATAAGCAAAAACTAAAGCAGGAAGCACCAGTGACTCGGTTAATAAAAAAGTGGTCAGATGACGCAGATGCTAAGCTACAGGACTGTTTTGCTAGCACAGACTGGAACATGTTCCGGGATTCTTCAGACAGCATTGAGGAGTACACCACATCAGTCACTGGCTTCATCAATAAGTGCATCGATGATGTCGTCCCCACAGTGACCGTACGTACATACCCCAACCAGAAGCCATGGATTACAGGAAACATCCGCACTGTGCTAAAGGGTAGAGCTGCCGCCTTCAAGGAACGGGACTCTAACCCGGACGCTTATAAGAAATCCCGCTATGCCCTCCGACGAACCATCAAACAGGCAAAGAGTCAATACAGGGCTAAGATTGAATCGTACTACACTGGCTCTGACGCTCGTCGGATGTGGCAGGGCTTGAAAACTATTACAGACTACAAAGGGAAGCACAGCCGCGAGCTGCCCAGTGACACAAGCCTACCAGACGAGCTAAACCACTTCTATGCTCGCTTCGAGGCAAGCAACACTGAAGCATGCATGAGAGCACCAGCTGTTCCGGATGACTATGTGATCACGCTCTCCGTAGCCGATGTGAGTAAGACTTTTAAGCAGGTCAACATTCACAAGGCCGCAGGGCCAGACGGATTACCAGGACATGTACTCCGAGCATGTGCTGACCAACTGGCAAGTGTCTTCACTGACATTTTCAACATGTCCCTGACTGAGTCTGTAATACCAACATGTTTCAAGCAGACCACCATAGTCCCCGTGCCCAAGGACTCTAAGATAACCTGCCTAAATGACTACCGACCCGTAGCACTGACGTCTGTAGCCATGAAGTGCTTTGAAAGGCTGGTCATGGCTCACATCAACACCATTATCCCAGAAACCCTAGACCCACTCCAATTTGCATACCGCCCCAACAGATCCACAAATGATGCAATCTCTATTGCACTCCACACTGCCCTTTCCCACCTGGACAAGAGGAACACCTACGTGAGAATGCTATTCATTGACTACAGCTCAGCATTCAACACACAACGCTCTTGGGTAAGAGCGTTGTGCCAGTAACCGAAAGGTCGCTGGTTCTAATCCCCGAGCCGACTAGGTGAAAAATCTGTCGATGTGCCCTTGAGCAAGGCACTTAACCCTAATTGCTCCTGTAAGTCGCTCTGGATAAGAGCGTCTGCTAAATGACTAAAAATGTAAAAATGTAAAAACACCATAGTGCCCTCTAAGTTCATCACTAAGCTAAGGATCCTGGGACTAAACACCTCCCTCTGCAACTGGATCCTGGACTTCCTGACGGGCCGCCCCCAGGTGGTAAGGGTAGGTAACAACACATCTGCCACACTGATCCTCAACACGGGGTCCCCTCTGGGGTGCGTGCTCAGTCCCCTCCTGTACTCTCTGTTCACCCATGACTGCATGGCCAGGCACGACTCCAACACCATCATTAAGTTTGCAGACGACACAACAGTGGTAGGCCTGATCACCGACAACGATGAGACAGCCTATAGGGAGGAGGTCAGAGACCTGGCCGTGTGGTGCCAGGACAACAACCTCTCCCTCAACGTGACCAAGACAAAGGAGATGATTGTGGACTACAGGAAAAAAAAGAGGACTGAGCACGCCCCCATTCTCATCGACGGGGCTGTAGTGGAACAGGTTGAGAGCTTCAAGTTCCTTGGTGTCCACATCACCAACGAACTATCATGGTCCAAACACACCAAGACAGTCTTGAAGAGGGCACGACAAAGCCTATTCCCCCTCAGGAGACTGAAAAGATTTGGCATGGGTCCTCAGATCCTCAAAAAATTCTACAGCTGCACCATCGAGAGCATCCTGACTGGTTGCATCACCGCCTGGTATGGCAACTGCTTGGCCTCCGACCGCAAGGCACAACAGAGGGTAGTGCATACGGCCCAGTACATCACTGGGGCCAAGCTTCCTGCCATACAGGACCTCTATACCAGGCGGTGTCAGAGGAAGGCCCTCAAAATTGTCAAAGACTCCAGCCACCCTAGTCATAGACTGTTCTCCCTGCTACCGCACGGCAAGCGGTACCGGAGTGCCAAGTCTAGGTCCAAAAGACTTCTCAACAGCTTTTACCCCCAAGCCATAAGACTCCTGAACAGCTAATCATGGCTACCCGGACTATTTGCACTGCCCCCCCACCCCATCCTTTTTACGCTGCTGCTACTCTGTTAATTATTTATGCATAGTCACTTTAACTCTACCCACATGTACATATTACTTCAATTATCTCAACTAGCCGGTGCCCCCGCACATTGACTCTGCACCGGTACCCCCCTGTATATATAGCCTCCCTACTGTTATTTTATTTTACTTCTGGTCTTTTTTTCTCAACACTTTTTTTGTTGTTGTTTTATTTTTACTTTTTTTGTTAAAATAAATGCACTGTTGGTTAAGGGCTGTAAGTAATCATTTCACTGTAATGTCTGCACCTGTTGTATTCGGCGCATGTGACCAATACAATTTGATTTGATTTGATTTGATTCTGCATGCATGCACACACACACACACACACACACAGAGAGCTGGATGGATGCTTGGGTACTAGCATTACATCATCATACATCAACACCCGACCGAGCTGATGAGATAACTCGAGGAGGAACAACAAATCTCTATCTCTACTGTCTACACAGGAGCCTGGGAGGAGAATTACTGTCTGAGAGATGGAGAGAGAAGAGAAGAGAGAGAGAAGCGAGCAGGAGAGAGAAGGGAGAGCAAGAGAGATAGAGAGGGAAGAGAATAGAGAGAGAAGAGAGCAGGAGAGAGAAGAGAAGGAATAGAACAGAGAGAGAAGAGAGTAGGAGAGAGAAGAGAGGGAAGAGAAGAGAGAGGGAAGAGAACAGAGAGAGAGGAGAGTAGGAGAGAGAAGAGGAGAAGAGAACAGACAGAGAAGATAGTAGGAGAGAGAAGAGA